AGGGTTTGGGTTGGAAGGGACCTTGAAGCTCCTCTTGTTCCACCCCCCTGCCATGGGCAGGGACACCTCCCACTAGCCCAGGTTGCCCAAAGCCTCATCCAGCCTGGTCCTGAACCCCTCCAGGGATGGGGCATCCACAGCTTCTCTGGGCAACCTGGACCACTGCCTCACCACCCTCACAGGAAAAAAACTCTCTCCTAATATCCAATCTAAATCTCCCTTCTTTCAGCTTTTGCCACCATCAGGATCGTTTATCTATAAAAAGGGAAGGTTCCCATCCATGGAAGTGGGCATGGACCAGTGTGGGGCCAAGAGATGAAGAACAACTTGGAGGATTTTCCACCCACACCAAAGGGAACAGCCAGCTGGAAGGATGCTCAAGGGAAGAGCCCTGAGCGTAGTGAAATCCATCCCAGGTGGACAGCAGGTGATGAGTGCGTGGCAGGTTTCCTTGGGAGACCTTCCAGCACCTTCCAGTGCTGAAAGGGGGCTACAGGAGAGATGGGGAGACCCTGGGCCAGGTTGCCCAGAGCAGCTGTGGATGCCCCATCCCTGGAGGGGTTCAAGGCCAGGCTGGATGAGGCCCAGGGGTGGCACTGGGTGGGCTTTAAGGTCCCTTCCAAACCAAACCCTTCTGTGATTCTATGAAATGTATTTGTCTGGCTAATCTTAAAATTACAAAGCCATGGAAGTCTTTCACAGGGAGTTTAATCTCGTGCTTTTTCCTTCTGTCAGCTGATAACTGCCCTGTGGCACTAATGCAGTCACTGGAGATGATGTGGGAAGAGCTTTGAAGGAATCACTTGCTAGGACAGGATGATGTTTATTGTTTGCTGCTTCTCTTGGTTTAGCATCTCACCTCGTGCCTGGGATGGGCACTGGGACCTGTCCTTCTGGAATGGTGCACCCGAGCTGCTCTGGTGCCCAGGTACCGCAGGACAGATGCCACCGGTTCACCAGTTCCACTTGAAGAATCGTGAAGCTGTGTCTGCAGAGCAATTTACTGGCTCAACTGCAGCCTCCTCATCTCTTCTGTCTGTATTAACTTGGAAGGCACTGCACACACAGCAGAACTAGAGTTGCAATTAAAGATTTTTGTTTAAGGTCACCACTTACAGCTGAAGTTTCCAGGCAGAGCTCAGCTCCTGACTGCATCCCAGGCTTCTTGCACGACTTTAAGGGCATCGATGCATCCTCCAGTGCATCAGGACCCTGTTTACAAAATTACACTAGTGAGAATACTTTCATTTTTTGACAGCCTCCCCTGTTAGTAGGAAACACCTTGAATCGAGGTGCCCTGTCAAGTAGGAGGGCGGAAAAAGTCACAGCTTTCCAAGAGACAGCAACTGCAGGGAGTAATGGTATCGACCAGAGGTGAGGCTGGCAGAACTTATTGGCAGCTTCATTTGGAGCAGGCAGATAAGAGGCAAGATAGAGCTCTTCAGATTTGTGAAGACGGCTGCCAAGAGGAGGACAAGAGGACAGACATCATCCTGCCTGCAGCCAGAGACGATCCTGCCAGGCTGCTTCTTAGGGCTGGGTTATTTTTGTGAACAAGCAATCTGACCAAGAGAGCTCTACCAACAGTAGCAATGCTGCTTTGCCAGGACAGCTCCTTTCTTTAGGGGTATGAGGCATGCTATATATCAAAAGAACTCTTTTTTTTCCCCTAAAAGCAGTATCTGCACTCAAGGGTTTGTCAGTCCTAGTGCTTGATATAGAAAAATTTTCCAACTTTCGCCATGCAGACAAGATTGCATTGTATACTTCTGCTATCAAAAATATGTGGGCAGGGTCAGAACTGTGCCCCAAAATCACCCAGTTATTAGGGTAAGGGGCAATCATCAGGCCCGTACGGTGAGGAGGCACTCCAAATCTCTTCCTGGAGGGCCAGCAGATCAAATGAACATTGGACTGGTTTTGCACAGCACAGCCTGGTCCTAGCCTCCCGCTGGCATCAGGCTGGACTGACTGTCCACATGGGTGATGTGTCCGGCTTGTACTCCTCACAGGACTGAGCGTGCTCTTGAGACCTGTAGCTCAGAGTTGTGCCTTTGAGATGGACCCACTTTCTGTGATGACAGGGAATTGCACTAGAGATGGGCAAGAGTAGAGCGGAGGCTCAGAACAGCGCGGGCGGCGATGATGGACAATGACAATGGGCAACAACGATGGACAACAACTCTGAAGCTCTTTGCTAGGACAGACAAGAAAGGAAGCTCTGCCATTCAAAGCACAGCAGCTGGATTTTGGAGGGATCATTTGGTCCTTGTTCCCCAACAAGCCTCTGGTCCTTTGAGCTGGGCTGGATGATGCCCAGAGCCGTTCAGGATGAATCCCAGGCGTGCAGGGCACCAATGCACCACTAAGCGTCTCAAAGCACGGTCAAAGTGGAGACTCTTTGAACATCACTGCCCATCTTCTTGGGTCCACACTGCGTGTTCATTCCCCAGTGTCCGGCTGCCTCTGCCATACTGGACACCCACAGCCGGGGAGGAGCCGTGCTCCACCTGCACTTGGGGCTGCAAATACAGGAGCGTGGGTGTGAGGTGCCGCTTGTCCACTCCAAGGCAGAGGGGGGAAAGGGCCCCTTTTCCCCTTGGACAGGATCCAAAATTGCTATCTTTCCTTGCGCAGCCCAGCTCCCTCCCTGGCCCCAACCAATGGCTTCGTGGACTGAGATTAGGACAAGCCGTTACTAGTGTATAAAAATCCCTGGGGCAGACTTCGGCTCCACTTCCTCCCCATTGTTCAGGGAACCCCCAGGCTACCCTCTCGCCCGACACCATGGTGCACTGGACAGCCGAAGAGAAGGCGCTCATCACTGGCCTCTGGGGCAAGGTCAATGTGGCCGATTGCGGTGCCGAGGCTCTGGCCAGGTAGGTCCAGCTCCCGGGCATCTGCTCAGCTGCACCCTGGACAGAGAAACCGTGGGAATCACATTTGGGAGCGTTAACGGTGTGTGTGTCTGCTTGTGTCCCTCCATCTCTCCCCAGGCTGCTGATCGTCTACCCCTGGACCCAGAGGTTCTTCTCTTCCTTTGGGAACCTCTCCAGCCCCACTGCCATCCTCGGCAACCCCATGGTCCGTGCCCACGGCAAGAAAGTGCTCACCTCCTTCGGGGAAGCCGTGAAAAACCTGGACAACATCAAGAAATGTTTTGCTCAACTGAGCAAACTCCACTGTGACAAGCTGCATGTGGACCCCGAGAACTTCAGGGTGAGCTGTGCTCAGGCTCCGGGCTTAGCTGGGCAGAGTTTCTGGTCTCTGGAGGGGGCTCTGGGGGTCCCTGGGGTGTCTGACAGTCAGTGGGACCTGGGAGAGAAACCCTGAGGATGTCTGAGCCTGGGAGCAGAGGGCAGGGGCGGTGGAGAAGGGGGTGAATAGTCGTATTGGGGGGGAATAGGTGGAGTGATGAGACTGGGAGCTGTGAGAGGAGGGACACAGGCAGGTGAGGTGGATGGGGATGAAATGAAGAGTCGAATATATCGTGCTGGTGGGAAGCAATGTTCGGTTGGAGCAGACAGTGAGCAGAAGGGAAGAAACCAAGATGGGGTTTGGAGGGAAGAGCTGAGCTTGGCTGGGATGGCGTGGTTAAACCAGGAGAGAAAATAAACCCAGCAGAAGGAGGGGATCTGAGCCAAGGGTGGGCAGGGAAGTGAGAGGAAAGGATAATCCCAGACGAGGCAGAGGGAGGACACGGGCACAGCAGGCAAGGGAAGGTGTTTGGGGAGGAGGATCCAGCACATCTGGGCATCCTGGTGAGTGCCAGAGATGAAAGCTGTGCAAGGACCCTGCTGTGACAAATCCGTCCCTTGCTTTGCAGTGAATTCCCCAATAACCGGTGTCCACAGGTGGTGTCATAGTGGGGAGGGAGGCAGTGAATCCCCCAGTAACTGGTGCCCACAGGTGGTGTGACGGTGGGGAGGGAGGTGGTGGGCAGCCCCACGCTGATGGCTTTTCCTCCCTCCATCTCCAGCTCCTGGGTGACATCCTCATCATCGTCCTGGCTGCCCACTTCAGCAAGGACTTCACCCCCGCCTGCCAGGCTGCCTGGCAGAAGATGGTCCGTGTGGTGGCCCACGCGCTGGCCCACGAGTACCACTGAGCCTCCCGCAAGCATCGGTGCCCGGAGATGCTCCCGGGGGAACACCCTCTGGTTCTGCTGGTCTCTAATTGCCAAATAAACACCCACTGCTTCAGCCGTGAAGAGGTGTCTGCCTCTCTGTGGGAACGGGGTGGGGGCCACCCTAGGGTGCTGGGGAAGGGGACCGAGGTGCTCGCGCACACGGGGTAACGTGAGCCGCAGTCTTGCCTGTGAATTCAGGGAAGTGAGGCTTGTCTAAGGTGGGGAACCCAGGGGAACCCAAATAAACACACTACAAAATGCAAACAGAAATGGTCGGGCGCTTTTTTGAGAGATCGGGTAATGTGGTTGGGATTAATGTTTTAAGTCTTTCACAGATAAAGTGCAAGAAGATTTGTACAAAAACATGCAGTGGGAGAAGTGGTGAGATTAGGTCTGTTGTTTGTATCTTCCTTCATGGAAGGAAAAATGCTTTTTTTCATCGTTTTTTGCCTGAATCATTATAATTCTCAGATTATTAAAAGCAGAATATAATAGGCACAACTATCTATTGGCAAAAAAATACACCAAGAGTGGTAATTTCATGTGCAGGAAGGACAGAGCGCCTGGTTTCACTGGCCCTTACATCTAACCTTCCACGAGCAAAACAAAATTCCCTGAACAGCCCCCATGCCACGCAGACCATGGCTCTCCCCAGTCTCCTGTCCTCTGCCAGACCCGCAGCATCCCCGCAGCACCCAGAGCAGCTCGGGGACGTGTCTGGGGTTTCAGGGTGGTTCATTCCTCCCACCCCCTTATCAGGGAGCGGGCAGAGTGAGCGGCTCCAGAGCGGGTCTGCAGCGAACCCTGCACGGTTCAGCGCGGAGGGCTGGGGAGCAGGGTCACCCCCCGGTCCTGGTCCCCCGTCCTTTGCCCAAACCCCCTCCTGAAGTGAGCAGGCAGAGGAGACCCAGTGCAGCCATCAGAAACGGTGGTCAATGCAAACACATTGCCCCACGGTCATCCAGCCCTGCTGGACCCGCTGGTTTTCCCACTCCATCCCCAGCCCCAGTGGCTGCATCCCACCCGCCAAGTTCCAGCCCGCTCTGCTGGGAGCAGGAGCAGATGTGCAGCCCCAGGAGACCCACCTGCCTCTCCCACTGCTCGGGAGGACCAGCTGCTCCTCTGCCTGCCAAATCGCTCGGTCAGGCACTGCCTCCTGCTGCGCATCTGCACAGACCCCAGTAGACCCAGTCTTCTCCCAGTATACCCAGTCTTCCCCACCTCTCCTGGGGCCACTGTGAGCTAACACCCTTCAGGCAATTGGTGTGTCCTCTGTTTGAACGTGTCCCTTCCAGCCTTGCTTGACCTTTCCTAACAGCCTCTTTGAGACAGGAGCTCTCTCCGACTGCAAGCCACTGCCCTTGCTTTTCTCAGTGTTACCCTAAAGTTGGCAAACTATTTAACTGCTGATGGGAAAGAACCAGGAGAACCCAAAGCCTGGCAGGTCCTAAAAGAGGACAAACACAACCCACTTGCATGCTGCTGGTGCATTCAGAGGGAGAACCCAACAGCCCCAAGGCTGAGTCACCAGCCTTGCAGCCATGCAACGGGCCCCCCGGCTTCGCGGCAATCCACCCCGCCATGGTTTGCACCATCCAAGAAGTACCAAGCCTTGCACGCACCTTCCTCCGAGGGCTCATGTGGGAATTGTGCTGTGCCGCGCTCGGACTTTGCATAGAGAGATGGAAATCAAAGACACGGGGAAAGGGCAGCTTGCCAGCCCATCCCACGGTGGATCTGGGCATCTTGCTGCAGGGCTCCACCCTGACGCCGTGTCCCCTCCCTCGGGGTGCCAGGGCTGCAGGGCCCCCCAGGGGCCCAGCCAATGGAGGGGTGCATGGGGAAG